TCCACCACTACCATCTTTGTCCAAAGAGGGGGACAGAGAGCGAGTTTCGGACGATTCGCCCGGTGCCTCAGAATTGGCAGAGTACAAAGTTTGCGAAACTGGCTACCTCGTCGCCTCGGTGGGAGCTAAAATTCACTTCACTTCTGTTAGCATGTCCACAAATTACCTGACCTTCAGCCTGCTGGATGGAATTCTTTTTTGTTACAAAGCCCCACCGTCGGCCGGATTCATCTTTGCGTCACTAGAGCCTGCTCTGACGCGTAAGGCAAGACACGTCTGGTACCAAACAGTCGATTGTGAAATGTTAACCATTGCATGTGAGTAGAACAAATTGTCCAGTGGCCCTGCGTAAAGCTAAAACTGTGCGCCTTCTTCAGTGTCTCAACTGTAAATGTCAAAGGCTACACTTATAAACTGATTGCATTTTGGCGAAGAGACACTTATATTCCTGAATGGCTGAGCATGCTGAACAATCTCTGTATGTTAAAATAACGCATCTCACATTAAAAACTAACGTAAGGCGCTTTTTAGATATGGATAAAAGGTAGAAATCGACTGTCATCGAAAATGAATGAGCTACGGAAAAAAACTGTAGACTGGAATGATATTTTCTGTCCTCCTTGTCGTCAACAGTCCATAACATCCCAAATGTTGCCCATCATAATCGGAGCACCAATCATTTGCTCCCCGACCGTCGTGCTCAGGAGCATTCTAAGTCAAATTGGAGGGCTCTTCCACACCAATTGAACCTAGTTGTTGAAAAAACTGCATGTTATCCAACATTCCTTTCACGTATTTTCATATTTCCATCACAGACTCCAAGACTTCCAACACCATTCCAAACTTATTTTGTTCATTAATCTGGCCAGCCCAAGTTCCCTACCTAATCTGCTAGTTTTACATAGATACAGCTAACTTATTCAGAATAGTGTTGCCACGATCTACTCATTTCGGGATTCGCTGAACTCTCACACGGGTTTTTCATCGTCAGCGCGCTTGGCCGGTGCTATTTCATAACAGCTTCCTGCCTATTTCATTTTCTCGTGTACTGCATGACTGTGCTTTTACGCAAAGTCGGCGTGACTCGAAAGGTAGAAGACTAGTTATTTACAGTAGCTGTCTTAGCTCATGAAATACGTTTTTGACTAGGATTAATTAGCTGAACTAGGCCGTAGGGATGATGACTGTGCAGAAATATCTCAGGATATTTCAGTCAGTATAATATGCCAGCTTTTGAATGAGGTTCTTTCTGGCCACTGGCAAAAAACCTGAACGCAAAAGATGAGCAATTACGAAGTAAGCATTTCCTCATTGTTTTTTAAATAAATTTATAAATCTAAACATGTTTTTGGAAAAAAATGCACACAAATATTATGTATTGCACTCATCTGGTACGAAACTACATCTCCTTCCACTCTGGCACTTACGGAAAGGGTATCTTTCAGTTCTGAAAACGTTTCCACTTTCCGAATAATTTTGAACAAGACCTGTAGTTTCACGTGTGCTTAGGGTTTCCAACCCCTATGCCACGTACGTTCCGTGTCAGGTAAATTATTCATTGTGTATATGTTATATTTCATACGCAGCACTAACAAAGGAACATATAAGATGTTGTATGAATCGAAATTACAAAGTTTTAATAACTATCCTAGTCATGAATATCTTTAAATCGAAAAATGACATTTTAGCAGACAAAGTAATTCTCCCCTGAATTAGTATGTGAACGAAAACAAGGAAGGATTATCCTTCAGGTGAGATTGAAAGTAACATACTACTAGGTCAGCTTCTACCAGCTCTCCTGTTTTGTGTTCACTTGACACTTGCTTATCTGCACAAAGAAAGCACCAATCCTAATTTCTCCATCGCTTCCGGATGCTCATTTCGGATGTTCATTAGCAATTCTTCTTAGGAAGAATGCATTAAGTTTATACAGATTTTCTAGGAAATTTTGTCTTCATTAGGTTTGATCGTGGAATGGAGAGTACTGAGGCTTCGAAAAGTTGAGGACTGTTTATGCATTGTTGAGTCAACCTTCTTTTCTTTTGAAGATCATAAAACTAGGGCTACGATTTGTAGTTAGGGTAACCTCGTACAAATCTGCATGCGCTTGTAATATTATAAACTGTATATGAAGCACCTCAATTGCTTGAGTGTAGGCTACATTGAAAATCACGCCAGGCGGAAAAAAATACAATGATAACAAACTTTCTGCAAACAAACGGAATAATCTCTTTCTTTAAGGGCTAAATCGAATTCAATCGTAGTTTCAAACTAGGCCAGCATAACAAGGGAATATTTCACACCCACTTTGCCAATAATGATATCTCCATACATGCATTGAAAGGCAAGGTGGTAAAGGCATACTACTGAAATGGTGCTTTACTCGAGCAGGTGGATAGTTACCCAGCCAAGGGTCAGCTAACATTCTTGGGTGAACTTCTGGCTCAGTCTTGTGTGTTCTGTGGATAAATTTGGTTGGGCACAGAAATATGGATATCCCCCAACGGCACAGGTAAACTTGTGCTAAATTTCAAGGATGCTAAGTGTTGATAGTAACGTCAGGGTTAGATTTGGGCTTTAATTTAAAACACGGGTAGATTTCCTATCTCATCAAATGCTAAACGGAATGCTGAAATGTGGATTCGATTCGAAAAGGTGACTTATGTAGGATTGTGATATTAATTATCACGGAGCCTTATTCCAAGATGCTTTAGTCACGCGAGGATACCGGCTTCTGAACAAGCTTCTTTTTGGTTGCCTGTAAAAAGCATACTGTGTGGCAGATTTATTTTTCAGTAGTATGGATTTTTCTAATTATCTTTCGATGCCATTTTAAATTAGGAGATATTTTATAGAATAAATGCATAAGAATATTATTTAATATACTCGTTGGGCAACAGTCATTTTTTACAGAATATGTTTTTTTAGGTGACCGTAAATAAGCTCGTTCAAAAGCCGGTATCCCGAGGTCACTGAAATATCTTGGGATTAAGCTGCACGATAACCTATATTACAACTCAATTCAAGTAATTTGTTCGAATGGAAGACGCATCTTAGAATTTCGGTTGACACCTCATCAATCAGAGCGTCTACTGTATCGTCCTGACAGTTAGTGTAATGCCGCCTGTATTACTAGTGGAGTCCAATATTTCCGTGTCTGACCGCAAGTCTTGCTTCACGTAAATAAAGTCTACCCAGAAGCCTGCAGATTCATGAGCTTCGATTCACAATGAATAGAGTTCCAGTGTGGTGCACACACGATGCTTATAATTGTGCTACCCATGAGGGATGCTACAACTACAACTTATACCTTTTTCGCATATTGAGCAACACATCTCAAAAAAAGATCTCTGATGATATATATTTCCGACGAATTTTTGCATTTCTGCTGGTTGCTGTACCTTTTTATTGAACACTAGTTTAAACTGTAGTCTGCTATATACGTGGACTTCTCTTCGGTCTTCAGAAATGACCCTTTTCAAAGGAACAAACCCCTGTTCTTTAAATAAAATCGTCCTGATTGACGTTTTCACCCCTCGAAAACCGGCTCTCAAGCGGTTTCAAAATATGACTTTGCAAAAATGCATTTGGAGCTTATGAAAAAGCAACAGACAACGATGGGAGCAGAGTTAATAGTCTTTTTCGTGATAAACGACAGCGGCGCTAAAGTTGCCTTGCGAAATGAATAATCAAGCGGTTTCTACAAACTGCAATTTCTAGAAAGTCTCTCGGGAAATTTTATTTCAAATCAACAGACTACAGTTCTTGATTAAATGAGATGTTATAGACGCCTTTCTTTTTCCCTTTATCATATTTGACGAAAATGGATAATGATTGAAAAGATCATTTCTGGGACAGTAATCGAACGAAGGAAGACTAAGTATATTTCTAAAATTCTCCTGTTCACTGTGGTAGACCAAATCTATGCCGATTTAACCGCATTTCATTCCGAGTTGACCAGTCAGGCGATAGACTCCAGTGACTGCCCAGACGTGACGGCAGCTCCCGTTCAAGCCCATCATTATAAGATAGGAAATCAGCAACTTCAGGTTACCACTAGTAGGATAGTCTAAAAACTCGATAGCAGGCATTCAGAGTTGGTTAGCCATCTGCCGTGTGAGATTTTAATTTACAACGACCTGGTAATCGAGCTCATCAAAGACCTTACCCCTTTTATTTGTATATTTCGTGCCTTTTTTCGCCGTTCTATACTCCCCCTCCCTCTTTAGTAAAAATTTGCTCCTCCTATTTGCGGGAGGGATATTAAGGGAAGTAGGAGGCGTTGCGATCACCGGTGATGGCAACGCCTTCTACTTCTCTATCGACACACATACCTGGGGTGCGAACGTTAGCCTCAGTTCATATTAAGGGACATTTTTCGAGGACATGAACGGATTTCCTTAATACCCAAGGTCGGGTTCTATCAAGCGTCGTATTCATTTGCGCCAACGTAAAATAGCACAGGGTTTCTGGAACCTAGTTGGCTGGGAGGAGGGAGGTGCCAAAGGAGATAAAACCTCAAACCTCCCTTAGTTCCTTTCTTTACGCTATTGTTTTTAGGAAATTCAAATGAGATTCTACGATTAGGCGGAATGTCCGCGTTTCCTCACCGAATTAGTGCGGAGCGGTTGGATTTTTATATTTCCTTTGCTCCCCAAAATGTTGGTAACAACCTGATCAGTAGGTGTTTATATACAATCACCCTAAAGTATATGAATAACTAAACGTACTGTTGGAGGTGTATATAATTGTAATATGCAAGTGTGATCTTCAGAAGTAGTAGTGGTAGTAGTAGTATTAGTATAAACAAAAAAGGAATCCGTATGTTTGTAAGAAAAGCAATTGTGGTCCTGCCTATCATAGTACTGATGACCATTGTGGCAGCAAGTATAATGAGAACCAAACGCAAAAAGACGTTTTCTTCACGGGCCGTGGAGCCTTAGCACTCTGTGACAGCCGGCATAAGTCGGTCTTTCCCCGATTTCCCTCTTTCCACCGTTTTAACATTCAAGTCCGAGCGATCTTTGAGTTGCGCAGGGTTGGTACACTGCCAGTAGGGGAAATTCGGCGGCATAATCATTCAACCCGCGACGCTCTAGGCCCTGTTGGCCATTCGGAGAAGATGGTGTTGCCTGAGGAGAATCGGAGGACGAACTTCTGGACGCCGTAGAGGGATCAGTGCTCGAGCCACCGTCCGGTGAGTCCAGAAAATTGAAGCAGCCCACGAAGCCTGCAGGCGTTGACTGCGTCGTTGGATGGACTTCAGTCGTAGGCGGTTGCTGTTGCGGCATCGCGAAACTGGCACAGAGGCCCATCGGCTCACTGTAAGCTGCTGCCGCCGCCGTCTGGAAGCGAGC